AGGCCTGTGGGAGGACCAGTTGGGGGCGACCAGGCCAGCAGGAGGAGGCAGTTAGGGGCAATCAGGCAGGCAGGCAGGTGAGCAGTTAGGAGCCAGAAGTCCAGGATTGTGAGAGGGATTTCCGAGGGGTCCTGGATTGGAGAGGGTGCAGGCTGGGCTGAGGGGACAGAATTTTATGTACCAGGCCCCTAGTAGTAAAGATAAAGGAATCTCTGCTGGCTTTTTTTTTCTATATACTCTCCAAATTGTATTTCTAGCCTTGGCAGCTTTCTCATTTTAATTGCTACTATATACACTGTACAATCCTGAAAACCTGGAAAATATATTTATGCTTCCTCTTTTGCAAGATCATTTCCACAAAATACTTTTGATGGCAATAGTCAGAAAGGTTAACAGCCTTACTGATACTTGTGGTGTGGAGGAAGGGAGTTAGAAACAAGAGAAGACATAGCTAGATTTCCTTATTAAATCTGAAAGATTCTCAGATTCCTGAGGGCCTCTGCTTTTTATGACATATACATTAGTCTACCACTAAATGGTTATAAGCACTAAGTGATTATAACAGACAATCTATAGATGACTACACCAGCTAAATTTCTTACCTTTAATCATTTTGGACAGATTTCCTTTATAGAATAGTATCATACATAAAGCTTGATACTGTTCTATACATTCTCACAGTGACCCTCACACAGTTTTATTTCTTCCCTTCTTTAGTGTAGAAATTCTTTCCAGCTTTACATATTCCATCATAATGGATTTTCTTTGAAATAATTTTTAGACTCTATTATTCTCCTTTTCAGAGTCACAAGCAGCATCAATGAACATTAATTAAACACTCCAGAGGTTAATTATTATAAAATAAACTAAGAATTATAAAATTGAGATGTCCACATTGGTATCTTTCTTTTTAGTCTTCCAAACCCCAGATTCAATCGTTGTAAAATATTTTAATGGCATCAGATAGATTAGCTACAATATGGTGTCCCTCTTTATAGGAATAGAGAAAATTTGAACTTGTTATTTTATTTCTATCTTAAGAATCATAAAGTATTTTGCTACCACTTGATCAAATCAATGTAATTTAATCTTAGTTCCCACCATCACAGCTCTGCAAACTAAACTTTATGCCATTGTTTTATTTGCATAATATTGCTTAATTTTTATAAGCATATCAATATATTTTTAAACATTCTCATTTCTTAGGCAATTGTAGTTTACTTTTTATAATACAAATAAACTAATTCATTTAAGATAACATTAAAATTAAGAGGACAGAATTTCAAATTACCTATAATCATTAATGAATAACTTTATATCTGAGAACTTATATCTCAAATAGAACTAAATAATTCTCCCAATTTACATATATCTGCCTAACAAAGTTCTTAATTGTTTTTAATGTTTTTATTGACCAAATATATTAAGCTCCCTCTGATGATCTAGTCTCTATTATATTTCTCCCCATTTTAAAATCCAGCTTTAGTCCCATTTGAGGTAATTATTTGATTCTTGAGAAAGTTTCTCTAGTAGATATTTTTTATTCTAGCCATTTTCTAAAAACTAAGTAATTTTAAAAATTAAGAAATTCAAATTTGAACATATTTTGTATCTTTTTGCACAAAAATTTTCAAATATTTATGTGCATTTTTAATAGTATAAACTCAAAATTTTTAGCTGTTAAACTCATCCTTTCCCAATATTTCTCTAACTTATTATAGTGCCAAACATTCTCACTTGAGTACAGTTTTATTATTCTCAACATATTGTCATCAAATTTTTTTCTATAAGTATTATGGAAATTCTAGACTTCCCTATTTCCCTCACATTTGAGTTGTGTGTCATTGTATATAATGAGCTTCTCTAAGGCCTTACTCAGCCTCCATTATTCCAAGCTTACATTCTTCTTAAGCAGACAATGATTTAACAACTATTGGAAACCATAGTTCTTAAAAATTTTAAATAAAGCTGGTTTATCATCATTGGGGTCATTTTCTTTCCTGTTGATGACAGAGGCGTGTCTATTTTGTCTTTTAAACCTGCGGATACCAAAAGAACTCGGGAGTGTTTTTATTGCTTCTATGAAGGGAAGCTTAAGATCTCCACATTAAGTGACACTTACTAGTAAGTGAAAAACACTCCTGCAAACCTGTGATGAATTGTGGATAAGGCTTATATGCCAGGATGAAAACATTTGTAAATTGCATTTAAAAAACAACAACAAAACACCTCATATATGTGTATGTAGTAGTTTGGGTGTGTATATATAGCAGTATTTAAAAATGGATAAATTGGCTGAATCTTCTATCTTCAGAAAACAGATGGCTCTCCATCTTGTTACAAATAAGAATTGCTCTGCTATGTGCCTTAAGTCAATATTTTCTCACTGAACCATTACTTTTCACCAGTTCCCTTAGAATAAAGTAATTTTCTAAAATAAAATAAAAAAACAGGTGAGCTATTTTGGTATAAGAGTGTTTTAGGTGCCTGTATACAGCAATGTGTGGTGGGGTTGGGTGAGAGTATCTGAGGATCTATTTGAGCTCATAGAATTGCTCAAACTCTACAGTGTTTCAATTTTCCACACAAATGATAGGCGCATATATGATGATGACAAGCTTTTTTGAATGCTACTTTATTTGGTTGTGTTAGGATAACATTTAATTCCTTGTACTGATTTATCAAATAGACTCCATTGACATTCTATAATTTTAATCCAATTAACCTTTAAATTCTATCTTTAAAAAATACTTTGTTTAAATCCATGGGCATTTATTTAATTTTTTTGTAATTATAGGCTCCATAGAGCAGCAATCCACTCTGATATGTTCATCACTAAACATTAACAACTAGGAGAATTCTCAGAACAAAGTTGCTCTTAAGTATATATTGTGGAATACACAAACACACACATGCATATCCTGGCTAACAAAGAGTATTTTTTCCAAAAAGAGAACTTTGCTATTGTGTCCTTGACACAAGTGGATAAACTCTATTTTTCCTACTTTGTCATATGGTCTGTTTTTGGAGTTCTGAGTCCTGGTCACTGTCTTAAATTGGTGCTACAGTCTCTAAAATATGAGCTAAGTATCTAATTGTACGATCTTATGAGTATTGTTAATATTGCCCAGATGGACTTGGCTTTTTAATTCAAATCTTCACATGTAATTTTATAATATTTCCTCAAAAAGCGTTTGCTCTTTTAGCTATATTGATAGAGAGATAAATTAATTAAAAGCGCTAAAATTTTGTATGGATAGTTCTCTAAGATAAGAAATTAGAACTCCTATTATATAGTGCTTATGATCTTTGAAGAATAATGTTTAAAAATAAAAAATATTAAGATGCAGGTATCTTAATATTTCAGGTATCAACCAGAAATTACAGTAATGGCTTTT